ATTCCAACTGCCCCATAAAGCATGGGGTATTTGTTCATTTAATGATAACATTATTGTATCCTTAAGAGAAACGCGAACTAAACAAGTATTTTGGGTTTATGACGAAGAAGGAAATTACATAGAAGAACATTACTCCTATTGATTCGGATTGTAACAGAATCCATGTTATTTCAGACAAATATTTACTATACACTATTTTCTCTGACAATTCTGTTAACTCGAAAGATCTTAGTAGTACTGGAGCTTCCACGAAATTATATCAATCTTCAGAGATGCGTAATCCAATAGGTATTACAAGTGATTCCGATGGAAATTTGTACGTCGCATGTTTTGGGTCCAGTAATGTCTTCCAGTTGGATCCTCACGGAAAATTCATCAGAAAGATTTTACAAGACGACTCAGCCGTGAGAAATCCATATGGCGTCCGTGTGACTTTTTTTGATAATGGATTCAAACTATTTTTGACTTCTTTAGGAAAGATTCTGATCTATAACTTCAGTGAACTATGATTCAAATTGAACTTTAAAAGTTTTTCTGTTCGATTATTTTCAATTTCAGTTAAGTTTGAAGTTTTGCATTACGTCACGATCTTTTTCGACAAATGCAGCGAGAGTAAACAATTCACGTGGTTGGTCAACTAATATTATCAACATTGACACGGAAATAATCTGTTGCACGAGCAACCAATCAGGGATTAGAAGAAAGTTCCAGTCGTATAGCTTGCAGTTAGGAGGCGTGTACTATTTACCTCGAGCGAAGAGCTCTGTCATCATACCGGTAGGTTGTGACGGTATGCAAAACTACACGCTTAACTGAAATTGATAAATAATTAGTAAATGCATGTACTATATAAGCCAAAAACATATTAATGACCAAAATGATACTGGATAAAAACTAAAGAGCCAGGTTCACTTTATGCATAAAATGGCCATATCACCCTCTTTCCCATTTCATATAACAAAATAAAGCACACACTTGGTGCTTTCATTTCCTATAATAAAATTTCTCTTTGAGAATCCAGATATTGGAAAACAGGCTTTGAGAAATTGCAATGTTCTTGAAATTTGCAGTGTATTTGACTACCTTCAGCAAAGAATTAAAATATGAGCACAGCCCATGATCTAAAAAAATAAAACATGTTTTTTTTTAAAGAAATGACTAGGAGATGACCGTGAATGGGGTTTCTTCAGATCCTTGTGTAGCGATCTATGTGAGCGGATCAAAGGATCTGATTTTAATCAGATTGTTTTCAAAGGAATTTACAGGATATGAGGAAAATGACGCATTTTATGACGTCACAATGCATTCATTAGAGGGAAAATTACGTCATGATTAATAGAAACGTGGTCACCAACACTTCAAGTGATACTGCGTTTGCAACCTAAACATTTTTCAGAAATTCTCAGGACCAAATAAGGCCCAAAGTGGCTCTTGCTCTTTAAAGAAAACACTCTTACAGAACTTCGGTACGAATTGTTTTTTCATTGTTTCCAGTGTTAATAGTTACATTTCTTCTATAGCGAAAATCAATTTGTGTACTCATGCAGGCCCATCGCAACGGTGTTAGATGTGTGAGCAGGTTCAAAATGAAAACCCTCTATGGCAAACGACTAAAAAAATACTCAGAAAAAAAGGGAATCCGCGTTCTACGGGCCTTATACCATAGTGTGAATATATTGTAACTTAACACAGCATGTACGGTGAAGAGAATACTCTTCCTCGATCGCTCCAAGAATGTCAATTGCATTCGATGGTCTTTATTGTTTTTTTTTATAGAATATATGTATGTCAGATTTTGAGACGCTTTATATCGGTCTTGTAGAGAAGGCTTCCCCTTTACCACCCCCAGCTTAATTAATGATTATGATATTTAATAGGCCAGTGCCATTCTACGAAAACTGGAAATTTCACCGTCTCCAACTGGAGCTGATTATATACTGGCATATTATCTTATAAACACTCGATCTTTATTAGGAGCGCCATTTGGTTTGGCTGTAGATCATATGGGAAACGCATACGTGTGTGGAAATAAAAGCAACAACATTAATTTTGTATCGACCGACGGAAAAAACTTGAAGATTGTAGGTGGATTTACTAAACCTCAGTGTTAAAATATTCAAAATAACTGTGTCAAGTTTTTTTTTTTTGTGGAAGAAGAGTCAAAGGTGAAGATTTGTGAATTGAGAGAAGGTTAAGAAAATCTTATATTAAAACTATATTTTGAATTCTCTTGCATCATTTATAAAATAATGTGAAATATGCAATTTGAATAGTGAACAACTATCTTGGATAAACCATTAATTAATGATAAAATTCTTTTAACTTATCTCACCTATGTCACAAAGGTGACCAATAATGTGAAATATGCAATTTGAATAGTGAATAACTATCTTGGATAAACCATTAAATAATGATAAAATTCTTTTAACTTATCTCACCTATGTCACTAAGGTGACCTTTTGCTCTCTGTTTTTGTCTATCATTGTTCGTCAGCTGTAAATGTTTACAACTGACGAACAATGATAGACAAAAAAGAGAGCAGAATGTCACCTAAGTGACCTAGGTATCAGCGTCAACAAATTCTGGCATAAAGCCCTTATTGGAAAAAAAGGAAGAACAATTTTCAATTTCATGGTCCCATCCCGAGAGATTCAATGGGTGCTTAATCAAGTAATGCTTTTAAAATCTTTTTTCTACTATTTTTCATCGAATATTCAAATTGTAGACATACTAGTTATTTTAATAAGTATATAACACTCTAACGCTATAGTTATTTTAATAAGTATATAACACTCTAACGCTACCAAAATTGTAAAATTTAAGAACGCTAAGTCAGGGGTCTGGCTCCAGGGTCATAACACTTAGACAAGCTCACTTTTGATCCCAGTCTCACTTTTACAAAAAGAACGATAGAATATGTAGTGGAAAAGTGAGGCTTATATCAAAAGCGATCTCATTTAAGTTTGATGGCCCCGGAGACGTTTGTTAAGGCTATGCTCCAATGAATGATTTTTTTTCCAAGTTCAATACGTTCAAGTATTTTTCCCTCATATGGGAGTAGTTAAAGCGTCTCTATAGTTGTGGAGTATGGATTGATCCTGAGGTTTCGGTTTCGATTCCAACTGCGGGTTGTAAGTGGAGATCGCTCCTTCTGATGAGACCACATAAACTGAGGGCCCCTATCGCAGTATAGCTGTAAATTCAGTCCCCCATTGCCAATTGTTGTGGCGTCTCCATACGAGTGAAAAATACGATGGCCAATATGAGCCGTCAAAATACAAGTAAGAGTAGCTCTATTATGTTTTTGATTTTGTTCCTTCTAAGTTTACAGATAATCTTCCCAATAAATCTAAGGAATGTTAAGTAGTCTCGAGTGTATTTTGTCTCAAGATTTGTACATGTACAAATTACTATTACTACTTCTTGTGTTTTGCCATTGATTCTACGTACATAATAGAGCTACTCTAACTTGTATTTTGACGGCTCATATCGGCCATCGTAGAAAAATTCTCGAAAGAAAGGAACTTATCAACAGAGCTTCATCCTTAAAAAAAAAAGCTGGATAAGGGCCCTATCTTGCCATGGCATATGCAATTCAGTGACTTTACAAATGACACATGTTAAGACATATATCCTCATGGTCAGGACAATGTACCGTTCTTGTTATCCCCTCGCAAGGGATTTGTAGAGGGCATAGCAACGCGCTTGTGTGTGTTTGTTACTCTTATGCGAAACGAAAGTGTCATTATAAAATTAGCATCGGAATCGATGTCGAATGCTGCCTGGATTTATAGATAATTTGAGTACGATTCTCTGTTATCCTTGGACTTTCAGGAAGGCGTGGCATTCTCGACGTTTAATAATTAGCATCTTAAATTTACACAACCTTTCATTTGCTGTTGAAGGATACATGCGATAGAAATTCGGGCAAAGGTAAACGAGTGTAGCAAAGATCCAATGATAACATTTTTACGGCAAAGAGGCGGGCCTTAAGTCGTCTCATCGTTGTCAACAACAATTTAAAGTTTCTGATGTTATTTATTTCTTAAATAATGACAATTAAATGAATTAATCTATGTCGCCATTGAGAGACGCTAATTACGCTAGTGTCGAGAATACCACGCCTTACTGAAAGTCCAAGGATGACAGAGAATTGTACTAGTGCACTCTCTCTATAGAGTCCACCCTTAGCTGTAGCAAAATAGGTTTCTTTTTTCCTGCGACCATGACAGACACGTACTTCTTTTCGATCTTTAAACCGTAAACACTGTAAGTACAATTTGATATGGAAAAATTGTTTTCTGTTTAAGAACATATACTTTTTATGTAAAGTTTACCCCTTTTGAATTACTTTAAAATTAGAGATTCTTTTAATCTAACCATACATACCAATGTTTATCAACATGATATGGATTAGAAGTGATTTATGTGTTTTGCAATGATAAGAAATTAAAATCCTGATTCACTGTGCATTGTAAAATGATTGAAGTAAATAGAAGATACTAAAGTACCTTATATGTATTTAAAAAAGTATGCAATTTTTTCAAATGTCTGGATACACTATGATTTTTATTTCGAAAATGTTTTGTTACCAATTTTTGAATTGGCAAATGTATAGTATAGATGTTCTTTCTTTTTCGAATTTTTTGAAAATTTATTTAAAATTTACTTACCCCTAAAAAAATTGAAGAATTATCGTGAGTAAAAATACATTACTTTAAGTATCCAGAGACATTTGAAGCATTTTCAATATTAGGCAATGTCAGATTTTCAGAACCAGAGAATCGGAAAGTATATATAGTAAGTATTAGACATCACTTCGATAATTATTCTAAAGGGAGCAAATAATGTTTTAAAACGTTTTTGAAAAGATACCTTAACAAAGTTTCATTCAACATTGGCTTGATACAGCGGTGCTAGAATGAATCTTTCAGATGTGAAAACGTGCTGTCTGACTATTTCGACCTTCTTGCAAATCTTGGCCTCCGTACAAAATGTAAGCGGCATGGCTACCTGTGTACCGCCGACAAATGACTTGATAGTTTGTCCCATTTGTTTTGACGTTTTTCGGGATCCAAAGACACTACCTCAATGCTTACATACATTCTGTAAGTCTTGTATCTGTTCATATGCATCGACAACCTTGAACAAGATCCTAGGAAAGACTAACTTTATTTGTCCCGTTTGCCGGAAGTGCTACGACAACGTGGATAACATTGATGCATGGTTAGAAAACTTACCAAATAACCATTTAATTGTCACTTTAATTAACCAAGAAAAAATGGAAAGTAAAGAGATGTGTGACTATTGCAAAAGGCAAGAAAAAAACGAATCTGCAAAATACTGGTGTGCAGAGTGTTCTGACAACCTTTGCGAAAAGTGTGCCAAGTTTCACAAGGTCAACAGACTAACTATGGAACACAAGGTGTGTAGTATTGAGGCCCAAAATCAGACTGAGTCATTCAGTTCTGTGTTATTTTGTAAACAACACAGCAGCAGGAAACTGGAAGTTTACTGTTTTGATCACGAGGAACCTTGCTGTCTGATGTGCGCCACTGTATCACACAGAAAGTGTGAAAAAGTCAGTAGTTTGGATGAATGTTCCTTATATTCCGCTGAAAAGGTACAGAGACTGAAAACAGAATTTGGCGAACTTAAAAAAAGATGCGAATCAGAGGTAGCCCGCGTAGAAGATGACAAGGCGAATTTCAAGAAAGAATCAAAACGCATAGAGGCCAGAGTTAAAGGTTTGACTGAAGAAATAATACAGACCTTGAGAGACAAAGAAAAGGATGCCCTTAATGGTCTGGCAAAAACTGAGAAGGAACAGACACTGGTATTACAGACAAAACTTGAAGAGTTACAGACTGTTCAAGAGAAGCTGGAACGAAGTATTCAACTGCTCCAACATTCTGAAAGATTCAGCAAGATCGCAATGTTTTTAGAGATCAAGAAGATGGAAAAAGAAATATCGGATATCGATTTACGAATCAAAGAACTTATGAAAAGTTACAAAATACCAGTTTTAAACTTGCATTTGAATGAGTTTGGGCGAAGTTTTCATTCGTCGTTAAATTCACTTTGTGAAATTGAGGTAAAATTGAAGACTACTGGCATTGACTATCGGTCTGCAAAACTTGTGTTGGAAAAGTCACTGAATGTTCAAGGAAGCTCTTGTCTAACGGATATTGAGGTTATTAATGGTACTCATTTGGTAACGACATGTCAGGTTAGTAAGATGGTATATCTCTTGGATGCGGATGGTACCTTATTGTCATCAACTCCACTTCCTAGCACTCCCTGGGCTATAGCACCTCTCCGAAAACATGAATTTCAATTCTGTGTCACAACGCAAAATCCCAATCTTGTTGGTATTTACAAAGCAGATATTCAAGATCCTTGCATTACACGTTGTAAAGAATTACTTTTGCCCAATACTGCATGGGGTATTTGTACATTTGAAGATAAAATCATCGTTTCCTTTTGGGAAGCGCAAAATAAACAAGTATTTAGAGTTTATGATGAAGAAGGAAATTATATTAAAGAACTCCACTCGTATGGTAATTCAAGTTGTAACGGAATCCATGCAATTTCAGGGAGATATTTGTTTTACACTGTTAACACTGACCACTCTGTTCACTCGAATGATCTCAGTAGTGTTATGGGTCAGAATAACCCTAAATGCCAGCAAAGATCAATCACACAGTTTAAACTTAACAATAATTTATTTACAGTGATATACAAATCATTAAGTACAAACTTAGCAAAAATCTAAAAATACATACATCAGAGTGTCCGTTGCTGCACACAATGTCCCAGTGAAATTATATCCCAGTAATATCTCAATGATGCTTATACAACAATATCTCCACAATTATCTATGCATCGAATTGACAGGGTATTTATACAGTATCATAAATCTAGAATATTCTAGAAATTGTAAATACATGATATTACTGGAAAGTTCTGGACATACACAAAGTTCAAGAATGTTCTAGAAAATTACCGAACATGTTGACTACTCTGGAATGTTCAAGAAACTTAATGTTACTAATAATATACATGATGAAACAATACAAATACAACACATCTCACAACACCTCCCCCCTTAAAAAGTTTGAATGTCAATGAAAACTTATATTGTCAAAATGAAATATATGTACATTAATACAAAATCTAATTTGTTCATGATACTCTGGACAAGGCATCTGCAATAACATTGTCTTTGCCTTTGATATGCTTAATTGTTATGTTGTATTCTTGTAACAACAAACTCCATCTAGTCAGTCTTTGATTCTTGTTTGACAATTTATGCAAAAATGTCAGGGGGTTGTGATCCGTATATACAAGAATTGGATGCAAAGTAACATTCAGATAAACATCAAAATGCTGTAAGGCTAACAACAAAGCAAGGCATTCCTTTTCAATGGTGGAATACTTTTGTTGACATTTTGTAAGTTTCTTTGAAAAATAAGAAACAACTCTATCTACCTTATCACTATGTTTTTGAAACAAAGCTGCCCCGATTCCAACATCACTAGCGTCAACAGTAAGCTTAAATTGCTTAGAAAAATCTGGAGTTGACAAAACTGGATTGCTCATAAGGACAGATTTGATTTTATGAAATGATTTTTCACAGTCCTTTGTCCATTCAAAGTTAACCCTCTTTTGTAAAAGATTTGTAAGTGGACTAACTACTGAGGAAAAATTTGGACAAAATTTTCTGTAAAACCCAGCCATGCCCAAAAACCTCATTAACTCTTTCTTGTTTGTAGGAATCGGGAACTTTGCAATAGCTTCCACTTTAGCCATAATGGGTGTAACATAACCTTGACCTACTTTATGACCGAAATACTCTACATAGGCATGACAAAATTCGCTCTTCTCAAGGTTCACAGTTAAGTTTGCTTTAGCTAAAATGTCAAACAAAGCACGCATGATTCGGAGATGTTCATCCCATGTGTCGCTGTATATGACGACATCATCAATGTAGGCCTCGCATCCCTTGAGGTCTTGCAGGAGGGAGTGAATCATCCTTTGGAATGTAGCCGGTGCGTTTTTCATGCCAAAAGGCATTACTTTATACTGGTAAAGTCCATCTGGTGTAGCAAAAGCAGATATTTCTTTTGCTCTTTCTGTTAAAGGCACTTGCCCGTAGCCTTTCAACAGGTCAAATTTACTGACAAATTTGGCGTTTCCAATGCTGTCAATACAGTCATCAATTCTAGGTATTGGATATGAATCAGTTTTGGTAACAGAATTCACCTTTCTAAAGTCTGTACATAATCGGTAGGAACCGTCCTGTTTTGGTACAAGAATACACGGTGAGCTCCAATTACTTTTACTAGGTTCAACAATGTCATTGTCCAACATATACTGCACTTCCCTTCTTAGGTACTGTAATTTTATTGGATTGAGACGGTACGGATGTTGTTTGATAGGCAGAGCGTCGCCAACTATAACATCATGACAAGCTGCATTAGTTTTCTTTGGAACATCCGAGAAGATTTGATGGTACTCATTCATCAAGTTTTTAACTTGTTCTTTTTGGTGAATGTTCAAATGTCCAAGTTTGGCATCAAAATCAGCCAAAATTTCTGAGTTTTTCAAGCGGACACTCTGATTACAATCTTTCTCATTCATCTCTACACTCGTATCACTCTCAATACAATTTTGAACAGTCTTAGCGTTGGCTAAAGTGGAAACTGGTTTTACAGAATTTCGGTCACACCTTTCAAAATACTCTTTTAACATGTTAATATGACAAACCCGTTTCTCTTTACGTCGACCTGGTGTCTTAACTACATAGTTTACATCACTGATCTTGCTTTCAATTTCATAAGGGCCATAAAATCTGGCTTGTAAAGGATGACCAGGAAAAGGTAAAAATACAAGAACCTTATCACCTGGCTTAAACACCCTATTTCTGGCATCTTTGTCATACCACATTTTCATTTTCATCTGAGAACTCTTCAAATTTCCTTGTGCTAATTTACAAGCATTGTAAAGTTTTTCTTTGAAATCAGACACATAATCTAAAAGATTAAGATCACTAGTCTCAGTCAGCCACTTTTCCTTCAACAATTTCAAAGGACCTCTAACTGTATGACCAAACACCAATTCAAAAGGACTGAACCCAAGAGACTCCTGGACTGCTTCTCGTGCAGCAAATAGTACAAGATGAACCCCATCATCCCAGTCTTTCTCATACTGATAACAATAGGTCTTCAGCATTGTTTTTAAGGTCTGGTGAAAACGTTCTAGCGCCCCCTGGGACTCAGGATGATAAGCAGTTGATCTATATTGCCTTATACCCAACTCATGCATGATTTGCTGGAACAACCCCGACATAAAATTTGAGCCTTGATCCGACTGAATTGCCTTTGGTGCTCCTACAAAACTGAAAAACTTGGTTAGGGCCTTAACTATGCTCTTTGCCTTTATATTCCTAAGAGGTATGGCTTCAGGAAACCGAGTGGATGTACACATAATGGTAAGTAAATACTGGTTTCCAGATCTAGTCCTAGGCAAAGGTCCTACACAATCCACCAACACTCGACTAAACGGTTCTTCAAAAGCTGGAATGGGTTGGAGAGGAGCAGATGGTATCTTCTGATTTGGTTTACCTACCATCTGACAGACATGGCATGACTTGCAAAACTCAGAAACGTCCTTTCTTAGCTTAGGCCAATAAAAATGACTCAAAATCCTATTATAAGTCTTATTGACACCTAAATGACCTGCCATAGGTGTATCGTGAGCTAAACTCATGACATCTCGACGATAAGCAGCTGGGACCACTATCTGGTGAACAACACGCCACACTTCATCTGGAGAAGCGTCAGGTGGTCGCCATTTTCGCATAAGGATGCCATCTTTCATATAAAAGCATTCTCCAACTTTAATAGCCTCTTCTGGTGGAAGTGCCCTCTTACTAAGTTGAATGATATCTGGGTCTTTATTTTGTTCAGAGAGTAAACGTTCTCGGCTGAGGATGTCCTTGCCTTGGCTAACATCATCCTCACCACCAAATTTTGGTAAAAATTCTTTCTTCTCTTGCTTCTTGATATTGTGTGGTTCCATGCTTGTTTGAGTGCCATCAAGGTCAGATAAGAAAGTGTCATTCAAATCAATATCAACAGAGGAATTCGTCTCGTCAAAGGCTTGAGTATGGTCTGCCTCCATTTCTCGTCTTCTGGCCATCGCTCTAGTAACAGCACAGGCTGGATAAATGTCATCATCTTCATCATCGCACATAACATCTGGAGTGATTTTCTCACAAACTATAGGATCTGGTACAACTTTTCCACCAGCTAAATCGTTGCCTAGCAACAAAGAAATGCCTGGAACGGGAAGAGTAGGTCGAACACCTACGATAACAGGTCCAGTAACTAAATCTGACTTCAAACTAATTCTATGCAGGGGAACATCAATGACGCCTAGCTCCACACCCTGTAATAAAACTGACCCACCAGTAGAAGTCTGCTCAGACAAAGGAAGCACGCCCTCTAACAATAACGTCTGTGCAGCACCAGTATCTCTCAAAATCTGGACAGGTTTTATTTCGCTAGAGTCACCGAGTGAAACAAATCCCTGAGACATAAAGGGCTTATAATCCTCCATAGAATCAATAGAACTGGACTGTGAACCCTGGACATCAGGAGTGTCAGAACAAATCGAAACTAAGGCTTCTCTATCACCTCTAACTGCCGCACAAGCATGTGGTTGCGTTTTATCAAAATCATTTTTTCTCTTAAGTTTAAAGCATTCACTGATCAGATGACCCTTTTTCTTACAATAACTACAAGTAGGGAGCGACCCTATTCCAGACGATCCTTCAAAACGTCCTGGACCGGACTTAGAACCACCTTGGGATGGAGACTGGGAACTTGTGAAAGACTGAGACCCTGAACCACTCTTTTTATATGTGTCTGAATTGGTAGAATTGCTGCTAGTCTGAGATCTTGATACAAAATTCTTTTTATGAGATAGAGCATAAGTATCAGATATGACTGCTGCCTCTTCAAGAGTTTTCACATTCTTATCTTCTAAATGTGTTTTCAAATCTTGAGGAACACATTCCTTAAACTCTTCTACCAGGATGACTTGGCGCAAATTAGCAAAGGTTTTATCAAGTTTCTTAGATCTAAACCAGTGATCGAATAAATCTTCTTTCTCTCGTGAAAATTCAACAAATGTTTGATTATCAAACTTCCTATACTTTCTGAATTTTTGTCTATATGCTTCAGGTACTAATTCATATGCTTTTAATATTGCTGCTTTGACCTTCTCATAGTCTGAACTCTCAGCTACCCCTAGTGCAGAGTATACCTCAGCTGCTTTGCCAACTAGTACACTTTGTAACATTGTTGACCAAACGTGTTGTGGCCATTTAAGATTCTCTGCGACTTTCTCGAATTGGGGAAAATATTTGTCTACAGATTTTTCTTGAAATTTTGGAACTAATCTAATATTTTTTGCTGCGTCAAATTCATTCTTTACAAATGACGGTTCTGGTTGGTGCTGTAATCTTAATTTCTGTAACTCAAAGTTCATTTCACGCTCTCTTTCTCGCTCTTCTCTTTCTGCTGCTAATTTGTCTAATTCAAATTTTCGTTCACGCTCTCGTTCTTCTCTTTCTCTATCTCTTTCTCGCTCTTCTCTT